TTATACAGATAGCGCAAAATGAAGATCTAAACTAAAAGAGATCTAAAGGAAGATAACCCAATCAAAATTGTTACAATTAATTTCAAGAATTAATATATTCTAAAGATTCTTTTTTATAATAATTAAATTAAATTTTATTATTTAATATTTAATTTATTAAAAAATCTTTATTATTATTAATATTATTAATTTCTTTATTCTTAAAGATATAATTTAATAATTTATATTTTATAATTTATTACTTATAAGTCAATTATAGTTAAAGATAAAATAAAATAAATATAATATTTATCTTTTTATATAACATTTATCTATTTTGCATAATAATATAGAAAAAGTATTATATATAAGTTTTAAAGTAAATTTTTTTTTATATTAGTCTTATTTTTAGTTTAGTTTTATTATTATCATTTTTATCTTATTAAAAAATATTATTTTATTATCATAAATATTAATTAGTTACAAATTTAAAGTAAATATCTCTTATTATTTTAAAATATTTTTATATATAATGCTCAAAATAATAATAGTTTTTAGATTTATTATAACTTATTCATTATATATTTATAATTTTTTAATATTAATTCTTTAAAAAATATTTAATTAATCTAGTTAAATAATAATTAAATAAATATATTATGAATATGATAGTTATTTTTAATAATCTAACTTTAAAAGTATAATTTCTTGAAATTATAATAAATAAATTTTTTAAATTAAAAATAGCTAATTAAATTAAAATTATATTTTTTTATTTATTTTATTTTATTATAATAAATAAAATAAATATATTTTTATTAAATTTATATTCTTTATAATAAATAGATATCTAAAAAAATAAAAAAATTAACTTCTATTAGTACTTTTAGCAAGATAATAACTTGAAGTATACAAGTTATATTACTTGGATATTTCTTATTAAAAATTTTCTGGAAATTCTAGACTGATCTTTTAATAATTCAGACTTAAATCCAATTGAAAATCTTTGGATTATTATTAAAAAAATATAGAAATATGTATATCTAAAAATCTGAGCAGTATATGATAGAAGAATAAAATAGAATTTCAAATAGTACTTTAATTAACTATATCAGATCAATGAGAAAAGGAGATAATAATAGAAAATAATAGTGAAAAAATAAATTATTAATTTTATATCAATAAAATCTTTAAATTTTAAGCTATATTTGATATTTTTTTGTTATGTTTTATATAATAGTTTTTGAATAACAAGTAAATAAAGAATTTCAAAAACTTTTGTTACATATAGTTTGAAGTTTTAATATTACAAATTGATAGCAATAATATTTAAAATGTTTATTTTTAAAAAAAATAATTTTATTTTAGTTTTTTTAGTAAAGTAATACTTTATTTATTATTAAATTTAAGTATAATAGAATAATTTAAATAGTATAAAAAGTGAATTTAGATCATTTTTTATTTAATATAAAAAAATTATAAAGATTAGTTAAAATTTGAATGATTTTTATTAGAAGCAATTATTAATTTTTATATTGGTATATCAATCTTGCAATGATCCATATCATTTATATTACAAAAATATTTAAAATATTTAAAATATTTTTTCTTTATTATAAATATTATAAATAAATTATAACTAATAATATATCATAAATATCAATATTCATTTATTAAATCTGAATGTTTAAATATTTTTCAGTTAATATTCTTTCAATTACAATTATGAAAAAATAAACTCAAAAATTGGTAACTTTAAGAGAGCTGACATATATTACTTCGTTATGATTTACCGAGATTTTGTCAGCCCCCCCCCCCCCCCTTTTCAATATGAGGTAATATATGTCAGTGCCCTTAATTGTTCGAGTGAATATTTCATCATATTTGTAATCTTATTAATGAAGATCATAAAAGAATACACTGTAACTAGTTCAGAAATTTGTAATGATAAAAAGATTAAGGATGTGGGCGCAAGAGATTGATAACAAGCTGAAAGAAAATAAATTTTTATATGTAAAAATTAAGATTTTGCTCCGATGGATGAATCAATCAACTATGGTTAAATTAAAATAATTAACTTAATCGGGCACAGAATAAAACTATGATGACAAAGATTTTATGGGGGTGTATAATTAGCAAATTATGTGCTATTTTCGGGGTTATAAATCCAATAATATATGAGGCTTATTTGTGCACACATTCTTAAAATTTCAGTTTTTGATAGGCTGAATAATGTAGTGATAGTGATAGCAAAAACATTCTTTTATAAAAAACATAAAAAACATCCAATCAAACTAGAATTGGACAAACATCACCCAATTTTTCGCTACACAATTTGTTTGTTTTACTCGCTTTCCTTCTGTAAACAATAATAATAAATATAAATCAATAACACGGCATTTTTTCAATCTAGTAACTGCATAAATACTCCAACAACGAGCAACTCTATTGTGAGAGAGAGAGATATATTTACTCGAGTTTGATTTTGATTTGGAACATTTGATGCAAAGAAATTATACTTTACTTTTTTTTGATCAAGCCTGGTGGTCAGACTTTCGCATCTCGACTAGTATTAGCATTAATAGCAATCGAAGTAGTAGACGTAGTAGTAGTAGTCGACGATAGTTTAATGAGCAGTTGATTGCTGACCGAGCAAAGAGGGATCATCGACAATGTCGTTTTTTAAATATTTCACGGCAAGTCTGCGATTTAATTTTGACGGCATAACATAGTGAGAGTTCCTTTTATTTATTCAACAGTTGTTTCTCTTTCATTATAGGAAAAACCTGGTAAACCGCAAACTAGCGAGCCTTGGAATAATGGCTCTGAAAAATATTTCGGATTAGAAAATGTAAGCTAGAGCATTTTTTCGCATCACCTCAACAATAAGAACTCTTTGAGCAGTGCAGAAAAAAAATAATACAGCTAGACTATCACTTAGACAATTGTTTCTCTTAATTAGTGAATTTTAGAAGTTAATTCAGTGCCTTTGGAATTAGTGTGTGGTGGGAGAAGCGGGAAAGGAAATATTAAATCTTGGAATATATTTTCAATAAATTCAAATATTCTAATACTTTTTTTATAATTTAATAAATTTTAGTTTGGAAATACTTGGTAGGCTTTTTCTAACAAAAAGCATTAGATTTTGGATTTACAAAAAAAATTTCGCCTGATTTTAATTTTCACGAATTCTTGAAAAATTCAGTTATTGTAATTCTATTTTACAAGCACTTTATTTTTGTAAACCATTCCGAGAGTGTGTTATCAATTTTCCGGACGGACCTATGCCATTATATGCATCGTCTCCACTTTCCCCGACTACAAATACATCAACCAATGGTATTATTTCAAAAAAAGAAAATAACGGGAATTTAAAAGGTAGAGAATGAGATCCAAAAAATAGTAATTAAGCACCAAAATAAAAGCATTCTAATAAATTTCATATAATGACAAAAAAAATAGCAAATGGAGAAAATTCAGCTTCCTCGTCACACGGAATAGAGGACACGCTATTCGGAGCATTGAAAGATCTTTTCACAAAAATTATTAGCCAAAAGAAAAAAACCGGCGCCGTGGCACCATTTCAATTCATCACAAAATTAAAAAAAGAGAATGGTAATTATTTTCCTATAATCGAGCATATTTATGTATATACAAATACATCAGACTGTTTAATGATCAGATTCGAACACTATTGCTATCATACATCCACATACCAGAACTCTTTAGGTCAACCATGCATCAGGATGCCCATGAATTTTTGAATTATGTATTGAATGCGATTGCAGAAAATGTGTTGGAGCAACAAAAAAAAATGGAAGAAGCGGAAAAACAGCAGACTGAGATGAGTGATAAATCAAAGCTTCATGCTGATCCTAACGAAGAAGGTGAGTTTTTATAATTATATGATATGTGACTGTTAATATTAGTTTATATAATACATTTAAAACTTTTTTTATTAGCAGAAGCAAGTTCAATGGGTGGCTCTGTTCGGACGTTATCCAACTCATCAAATTCAGCTACAACATGGGTTCATCAACTTTTTGAAGGTATCACGACCAATGAAACAAAGTGTCTCACATGTGAAACTGTGAGTTGAATTTTTTATTCAACTTCCCTGATTTCGTTGAAAATTTTTTAATTCCAAATGGCAATGATTTAGGTTACAAGCAAAGACGAATCTTTTCTCGACCTTTCTATCGATATCGAACAAAATTCTTCGGTCACATCATGTTTGCGTCAATTTTCTGCAAGCGAAATGCTATGTCACAAAAATAAATTCTTTTGTGATGTATGTTGCGGGTTACAAGAAGCCGAAAAACGGTAATTATGTCTTCAAAAATATAAGATCTCATTTATTGTTTAATTGACAAATTCAACAATGCTTATAAAGATATTTTTCATGGGTAGGATGAAGATCAAAAAGTTGCCTAATGTGCTTGCTTTGCATCTCAAACGCTTTAAATACCAAGAGAAACTCCAAAAATATATAAAACTTTCATACCGAGTAGTTTTTCCTACTGAGTTACGACTCTTTAATACTGTATGAATATCATATACGTTTGTTTTTTTTGGATTTTTTAAGCTATAATAAATTAATATTTTTTCTTTAGTGTGAAGATATCGAGGATCCTGATAGATTGTACGAGCTTTATGCTATTTGTGTGCATATTGGCAGGTAAGCGAAAAATTTCTTATTTAATGTATTTATATTTATTTCATTAAAGAATATATTCGATTTTCAGTGGACCTTATCATGGACATTATGTCACATTGGTAAAAAGTGCGGGACAATGGTTATTATTTGATGATAATAACTTCGAGGTAACCAAAAATAATGATTATTTTTCGATAGTTCATTTGTTAGTTTTTATTAACATTTCAATAAATTTTTTAGGCTGTCGAAGAATCTGAGATTCAAAAATATTTCGGAGATCTTCCCAATGGTTCAGGATATGTGCTATTTTATCAGGCATCTGACCTAAGCCTGAATACGTTCGGGCTAGCAAGTCCAAGTTGGGCTCAAAGTGTAGGTTCAAGTGGGTCGTCAGCAGAGTTTGAAGTTTCACCGGAACCAAGTGAGGCTCAAGCAATAGCATCATCATCAAATGCTCCTACAATCATAAACAGTAATATAATGGACACTGATAATATTCATTCATCCACCACAGCCACCACTACAGCCAATACAATAACAACAAATACAACGACGACAACGAGTAGCAATAATACCAATAGTACCGATGACCAAAATTTGCTATCACCAATAAAAGAAAACAACACATCTTCATTTCTACCGATATTAAGTCGTCGGAAGAAAGATCACAACACTCCGGATAAGCGTAAATCAAATGGTAATCATGAACTTTCTTCAAAGGACAATGAAGCAACTCATAATGATAATAATAATCCTGAAAAGCCAGCATCATCTTCATCATCATCGTCATCAAATGAAAAGGAGAAGGAAAAAGAAAAAGAGAAATCATCAGTCTGGTCACGTACTAAATCTTTAAGAGATAAAGGAAACAAGGACAAAGATAAAGAGAAGGATAAGGACAAAGAAAAGGATAAGGAAAAAGGGAAAGAGAAGGAGAAAGAGAAGGAGGAAAAAAAGGAAGATAAAGAACACAAAAAATATTCTTCATCACCTCTGTCACCACGCCTGCCTGATTTTAATGGATCAAATAGTAAAAAAGATAAAAAAGCAGAAAAAGAGGCCAAGAAATTAGAAAAGCTTGAAAAGAAAAACAAAAATTCCGAGAAGCATACGAAATTAACAATACCCACAAATGGGACACACCACGAAAAAACAGTGTCAATGTAAAGGCTCATATTACTATACTATTTTATTTATTAGTCATGGACTGACTAAGAATATACTATTATCAATCTAACGATTGAAAGCGAGTGCAATCCGTCAATTAATTTAATTAATCAATGCAGTTTTCTACTACCGACTTTTATTATATATGACGGCGCTTTGGACGTTATCATTATTATTATTTTATTAACTCCCATTTTTTCATTGTATGATATTTTTTCACTATTCCTTTTTTAATTATTCGCCACGTTTGATTATATAGCTTTTTGTGTTATCATGTATTGTAAATTAGAGAATGAACGATGTTCGAATCAATGTTTTTGTTTTTCATTATTTGGCTAAAGAGAATTACATAAATATTCAACATCATCATCATCATCATCACCATCATCATAATAATAAATATATAATATAGTAACCACAATAATACATTACAGAATTTGATGATAATAATCATCATAATAATAATGATAAAAAAATGATGATAAATAATATAATAATAACAATAATAATAATAATAATAATAATAATAATAATAATAATAATAATAATAATAATAATAATAATAATAATAACAAAATTTTAGATTAAGATGTATATTACATTACTATTTCACATCCACAATCATCAAACTCCTTATTAATAACAGCTTATACATAATTATATCAAAAAAAATTCGAAAACAAATTAAATTCGATATATTTTTGGTTTTTTTTAATGGCAATGATGATGAAACCGATATTTTATATTACTCTTGGAGACAAAAATTTTTTGATTACTTTCAAACAATACAATTTTACAATAATCTGAGTGAAAAATGAATTTAATAAAAATAATTTTTCAGTGATTTTTAAATTGAAGAATCATATCTTCACTCATTCATACACACAATCGCAACATCTACCAAGTTATTATCACTTAAATATTAATATGTATATCTTTTAAATATATTTTTTTATTAAAGTCTTGATATTATTATTATTATTCGATTTGATGTGACGGGAACTCAAACACGACTTCCTTCCCCGTAATTTTCTTGTAGACTGAGCTGAAGGTATCAAGTTTGTATTCGAGAGACGTGGAATCCTTGTTATCAAGGAATCTAATAAGAATAAAATCAAAGACATCAAAATTATTGATGATTCTTCACTTTACATATATTTTACTTTAGAAAAGCTAATAAACATGAGAACAAAAAAACATACACTTTTAAGATTTTAGTTCCGTCAACCTTAACACGGGTTCTTTTTCCAACAATTTCGGTAGGATATACCAAGTCCTCCAAAATTTTTTCATGAACGGATGTAAGAGTGCGAGATCGTGGACGAGGTTGCTTCACGCGAGATTTACGACCAGGCTTCCGCAAGATACGGCGATGTGCGATGAACACAATGTGTCGATCTGAAAATTTTTTCTCGAGTTCACGAGTGAGTCTTTTTGATTGATGAATTAGAACAAGGAGATTCAGTGAATTACATTTGTCTAGTAAAATTCAATGCCCTCTATGTAAAATATAATACCTTGGTTGAACTTTGTGAAATTGTTTGAGTAACGGAACGGGAACATAGATAGCAATAGCTTTTTTGCCACTACCAAGTTCAAACTTTTAAATTAAATGAATCGATCAATTAATATATCAATTAATTCTTTTCGATTTTTATCAACAACACTTAGTAATACAAAAAACAAACCAACAAACCTCTTTAGCGTAGCAAAATTGCAACGGCCTCAAATCTTTTTTTAGCTCGGGGACGTTACTCTCCAAATCGAAAAGTGCCTGAGCAATTTGTTGTTCCGTGTCATTTATTTCTTGTGGAAACCCTTTTGGCTTTGCAATTTTGTTTATTGGGGAAGCCATATTGATTTTTTGTAAGCGTGTGTGTGCTTTTTGGTCCCTCTATTTCTAATTAAGTGAATTTTTGAATTCAAAAAAAAATTTCGTTTGTCGTCCTCCGTTGGTTGATTATCTAAATATTCCAAAGATCAATTATATAAATTTTCTTATCCATTGAATTCATCCATCCATCCATTTATTAAACATCTATTACTTATTCATTTAACTATCCGTCGAGAAAACCCGCCGAAAAGTTATGTTTTTACTTACTTTTGATATCAAAAATCAACACACAGTCAAAAAAATCAAAGTCAAAATAAGTTATGTCACATGCAAAAAATTGAATTGTCAGTGGATACCACGTGTAATTTACTTATTAAAATTCAAAGATTTCTCAATTTCATCATTATAATTATTTTCGAAAATAAAAGACTTTGGTTTAATGAATTTCTGGTCAGATTAACAAGATAAAAATATTTTGCACGAGATTCTCCTCTTTTTCAAAAAATCATTAGAGCCAGTTTATTATATTGTGATTGTGTACATCAATTCCTTTCCTCCTCTCACAACTTCTAAATCAGTAGAACTAAAATATAAAAATAAATCAAATTTGGAGATGTTAAGTAAAACTAATGTTCAATTAAAACTAAAAGATAATAAATACATCGGTTATAATTTTTTCAAATTAAGACAAATAATCTCTTATTACGTATTACATCATAGCTCAATATTGAATATTCATTCTCCCCGCCCAATATACTATATCCATCTTCATTTTTGATTAAGGCATAGCTATAGCGTCTTGTTTACATATTGTATTAGACGGACATGGAGTCTCTGGAACAGGAATAGGTCGGCGTTTATAAAGTCTTTTAGGTGCAGCATCAGCAACGACCATATTTGTCGTAATAATCGAAAGAAACAAAATTGTAAGGAGCAAGCAGACGAAAAGATTTTTGGTAGTCATTTTCGTTTATGCTGAATTTATAAAACAAGCCGTTCTCGTAAAAATTCTAGCTTGGATGGATTATTCTTATTTTATTAGCCAATTGCGCCATTTTGCTATGCATGATTTTCATGATTTCTTACCGATAACATTTCGTGTATATAAAAAATCACGTGCACGTTCCTCATAACGCTGATCAGAAATTTTCCATTTTTTATGTTTTACTATATAATTTTGAACCGGACGATACTTCTTTGTGGGTACTGAACATGTATATCGTTATCCTTAATATATATCCGAAGCGATCTTTCGAGGTTGTTACAAATTAAACTTATCCAAATTAAAACCAACAAAGTTGTTTTTTATTGACACATGTACAACTAAATTAAAATTAGTTTGACGAAATTATGATTGTCATTATTAAATTTGAAGCCTTCTTTACTTTTTAAATATCTTAGTTGGTGACGGAAATGTTGTTGATTTAGAATCTTTAGAATTGTTGAAAGTATTCGGAGTGTTGTTGATTAATTTAGAAAGATTTATAATAATAATATTGTGCAAAAGAAGAAATATTTCGACAAAATCGCTAATTCCCTCCTTTGCTATCTCATCATATCGAATGGGAACTCGCGCCTCCTTCAAGCGGAAAGCATTGAATCCAGATGCGTTGATTGATGCTTGTTGTGGTAGTTGAAAGTTTGTTCAGGTTCTTTGCCTCTAATTCCTTTCCTCTTACGCAACGGTGCAATCTTACGTTCCGCAAAATTAACCGTTGTTAAGGGTGCAACATTTCCAACCACAACATACAGCATTAGATCCACTTCGAATAACTCCATCATCATAAAAAGTATTTAAAAATATTTGTTCACCTGAAAAAACAAAAGATTGAGTTACTTTACTTTAATCAATAATCAAATAAATAATACTTATCTGCAACCTTAATCCCATCATAGAGCACTTGCAGGACTTTGGGCAGTTCGCGTAAATTCTATCCAAACCATCATGCAAGGGACGCAATAATTTTGTGCCATCCATTTCTTTTTTATTTTTATCGCATACTATTCTGGCGATTCGACGAATAATACTTCAAGCAATTTATTGAGTATCCTTACTCTGAATATGGCATCTGGCTTTTTAGCCTCCGAATCTCCTTTTCGCGCTCTACTAGATTCGCTTTGGCGTTCGGGACTGTAATAAAGATCTATTAATAATATAAAAACAATAACTTTGCTTAAAGATTTACTTACGCGCTTAAGAATGCCTCGATTTTCTGAAATTTTCCGTAATACCGTTTGAAGTAATGGATAAATAAATTCCGCAAAATATGTATCCTCTGATTGATATTTTTTATTTTCCCCACGTAAAATTGGATTTTTCCACGCATTTTCCAGAATGCTCAGCATTTCATCAACAAGCCCATATTGCTCATCTTCATTTAAAATCCAAATAAATTATGCGCACCTAAAAATCAACTTGTATCGACATTATACGTGTCTCCAATTATATGAAGCTTAATTTTGCAAACTTTTAAATTCTCTTTCGCCCTATTGATCACAAGCAGGTAGCGTATGGGTTCAAAATTTTTATTCTGATTTCCTTTATCGAGAACTGTAAATAGTCCACAACGTTGACCGGATTCACAATATTCTGATCATCTCGTTTCACTGAATTTTTTGACTTGAATGGGTTTCCATCTTCGGGTTCCTTGAAAGCAAATTTGACCCTTTTTAAGAATGAAACCTGAGGGTATTTTTGTTTTATTTCCGGATGAATAACCGGTTTATTGGCGTTAATGGGTTATCGCGTTTTCGTTTCTGATCAATTAAATTCAAATATAACACAAGAAGATGCTTACTTGTGTAGGCTACGAGGAAACTTCATTATAGTAGTTTCTTTATATTGCCAGTCATAACGTTGCTGATTTGTTGTGTAGATATAACTTTTCTCTAGTTGAATCAGTGGAAATTATGGTTTCTATAATTCTACAATTCCATCGATAAAATACCCAATAACTCACCAAATTTACTTAAATCTGGTCGTCGACCATCCATACGAAATAGCTCGACGTTGATGATTCCTTGCCGATTGTTATGTTTGATATTAAAAACATAAAATATATGTATTATAGAAAAATTGACAAAAAAATAGATTCACGATTACGCGTCATTCCCGACATACTTTGAACCCTGTAAAAAAAATGGGGTAAACCCAATCAAATCGCAAGATAATAAATATAGTTGTTAATTATAATTAAGCATTGTAATTAGGATTATATTCCACGTGACATAGCAAAATTTTGTAAGTATATTACATATTTTTGAATTATTTTAACTGGAAATTATTTTTAAGATAATATAAATATTTTTTTTAAACTTAGGCTTTGGAAATAGCCAAATATTTCTAGTATTTTTAGTTTTTAAGTGTTAAATTTTTCAAGTTTTTAAAGATTCTTAGTTTTTTTAATTTAAGTTTAATATGCAGATATGCTAATTAGAGATAGTATAAAGTTAGCCATATCAATAAGTTTAATCAAAAAAGTTTAATATACAGATATACTAAGTAAGATAGTATAAAGCTGGTTATATCAATAAGTCCAATTAAAATTGAGTTATTTTTAAGAAAAATTTTGAATTAAGTAGATATTATTTATTTTTATTTATTTCTAGTTAAATAATTTAAGTTTATATATATATTATTTCAAAATTATTCTTTTATTTATCTATAGATATTAATTATCAAAACTCTTATCATATTTTTTTTCTTTATAAAAGAATATTTTCTTTACATATTTTTACTCTTTACTTATCTAATAGAATAAGTATCTGAATTTTTATTTTTATTTCATCTAAGCAAGTTCAAGTTAGAAAAATTAATTATATTATTATTAAAGTTTATAAATTAATATTTTGCAAGATTTTTTAATTCTTTTATTATTGCATATAATAATAATAATTTGTAGTATTCATTATAAAGTTAACTGTAGATTATATATAATATTATTATTTATTTTTATATAAATCTGATATAAAAGAAAATAATATTTTGAAATATTAGCAAAAAGATAAACTTCAAATATTTTTATTATTATTATTATTTTCATTTTATAAAGTAAAATATTTAAGAATCTGAAAACTATTATAATATATAATTTATTAATATTATAGTCTAGTACAAAGTGATTTATATACTAATAAGAATTATAAAAATCTTTATAATACCAAAATTATGTGTAATATATCAAATAATTTCATTTTTATATGAGTTAAAAATCATAAATAAACATATTTTTTTTATAAATTTTATCAAATTTCAATAGATAATTTTTATATAAAATGTAGTCATATACTATTAATTGATAATAAAAAATAGATAATGATAAATACTTATCAGTACTTTTCTAATCCTATCTCTATTGATAAATAAAATAAAAATATATTATTATACAAGCAAATTATTTTAACTTTGAATATTGTTAAGAGTATAATTGAGATTATAGTAATTGACTAGAATTAATATAATAATAATATCTTTACTTCATATTAAAATCTTAGATCTTTTAAATTAGGATCAAATAAAAATATTATATTACTTTTATATATATATATTACAAATAATAATAAAAATGAATACCAAATTTTTATATCTTTTTTATAGCAGTTTCTTAGTAAACATAAATATATACTTTCAAAATAATAACTTTTTCAAATATTATATCAGTTATACTATTATTATAGAAAGAAAGAGCAAAAAAATATTCTTTATAAATTATCAAATAATATAATATTTTATTATTATTATATTTATTATTATTTTGCTAATTTAGAAGATAAAAATAATATTTTATATCTTCTAGAAGTTTTTCTTGACAAGTTATATTATCATTTATATTATACATTATTAAATATATGAATTTCTTAATAAGATATTATTTTAATATTGTTACCATTTTAAGATTATGCATATGTAATTATTTTAAAATAGTAATAGTGACTGTGTTCATGGCAATTATTTACTTTTATAACTTCAAGAGATTATACAACTAATTATTCTTTCAATAAGATAATGTGTATAAGATTTTACTTTTAACAAAAATATGATTATCTTCTCAATAAGATAATTTATACGTGTTTTACTTATAACAAAAATATAATTATCTTCTCAATAAGATAATATACGTAAATTTACTTCTAACAAAATGCTCTCTCAATAGAGCAAGAAGAAAATAAGATAAGATATAAGATAAAATATGTGTGT